GCTAAAATGTAGGAGGAACATTGGGGTGGGGGTGGGTCAGGATGGGGGCAAGAGGTCTAGAGAGCTGTGTTTCAACAGGAGGCCACTTTCCAATTCCCAGTCTTAATCCACTATGTCCTTGTCTAGTCTTTAAGCATTGCCTCTTCTCTGTCCCTGTTCCAGGATTCCCAATTCTTGCCCCTTCCCAGAACCCCATGCTCACATTCCTTGGTAATGCGATGAACTCCTGTGGATCTGGAGGCCCATCCCCCAGGGCCAGCTTGGTCATTATTCGCAGGAGGCTATTTACTGATGGCCTCCCCATTCCTCCATCCCCAAACAGGGACCAGGGAATCTTTTCTGGGTCTATGTCCTGATTCAGGTAGGATGTCTATGAGGCAATGCTCCCTGCCTGTCAGCTTGGGTGACAACAGGGATCACTGGCCAAATGGGGATCCCTGCCCTTTGCCCAGTACCCTAAGCTCTCAGCTCTAAGGACCCTTTATATTAAGCATTAGCCCAGGAGTCCTGCTTGGCAGGAAAGCTGTGGCAGGTGGGAGGAGAAAGGAAGGCAGTGAGGCAGAAACAGCTGCCAGCCGGAGTGGAGGAAGAGCAGGGCCCCAGTGGGTATGGACAGAAGGCAAGGCGGTGGCTCTAGCAGCCCCCCACCCTCTCCCCATGTGTGGATGTAAGACCCAACCTCCTTTCCCAGCCCTCCCCTTCCAATGCTGCTGTTCAGGAAGCAGGCTCTGCTCATGGGCCTAATCACTGGGTTGAAATAGACCTCAGAGGTCATCTGGCCCAACTCTCCTTGTAATGTGATGCTAGAGTCAGCTCTAAAGCACTTGGACCCAAGGTTCTACTTATATCAGGCCAGATACTTTCTGGGAGTAGTCTGTTTCTTCTTTGGAAGGAAAAAAATCTGTGAAATGAGTGACTGATGTGCCAGGCTAGATAATGAACATATTTCTCATTAATCACGACATCACAGAGCTTTCCTGAAGAACTAGCTCCATTTTACAAATGAGAAAAGTGAGGCTGAGAGAGTTGAAGTCCCTAGCTCAAGGTCACACAGGTAATAAAGAAGCTAGGTTCAAACCTAGGACTTTGGTTTTTGTTTGTTTGTTTTGGGTTTAATTTTTTTTTTTTTTTTTTTTAGTACCAGGGACTCTCTAGTCCTTTTTTTAAATTTTGAGACAGGGTCTTTCTAAGTGGCTTAGGGCCTTGCTAAATTGCTGAGACTGGCTTTGAAATTGCAATCCTCCTGCCTCAGTCTCCCAAGACACTGGGATTAAAAGCATGCACTGCCACACCCAGCAGGACTTTCTAACTATAAAGTCCCTCCGGGACCAGCAGGACATGGGTCTTCTTTTGTACTAGGACAACTTTTATAAGGTGTGAAGTCCAAGATCATTTCTCTTGATTCTCTTCTTTTCCAGGTCAAACTGTTTGTACAACTCTTTCCAGAACTTGGGTTACAGCCCCTTTCTTAACCTGGTCAAAGTGAGATCTGGCACAAAACACACAGTCGACCAGGTAGATTTGGGCCAATTCAGAATAGAACAGAACTATCACATCCTTTCTGGGCAATAATCTGGATCAATGCAGCCCAATGGGCAATAAGAGAACTGAGAATATCCTTCCCTTTGGCCTGTGGACCTCTTAGATGAAGAGTCATGAGAGAAGAAGCCAGGGGTTTGTGCCCACCTTCACCACTCCCCTGAGTCTTAATGTTCTTAATTGAGATCAGGAAAGAGAAGGGAGAGACAAACAGAACTAGGTGGGGGCTTGGCAGGATTGGGAGGGTAGAGAGGAAGGTGGAGAGATGGGTGGAGACTGAGGTGGTTGTCCAGTAAACTTATGCAGAGTTAAGGGAAGGACAGAGCTTGGGGGGTGCACAGGGAGATAAGGCGGAGTTGGACTTGGCCCCAAGAATGGGAGAGGCCAGGGTGGGGATGGGCATCAGCCTGCCTGGGTTAACATCGCCCTGCTGTGCGAGAGGAAGTCAGTCGCACATTAAGGAAATGTTGCAGCTAGTACTAAATTGGGAGGTGTCACAGGCACCAGTGAGCACAAGTATGATTTGTGGGGCTCTGTGGGGCCCAAAACAGGGGCAGACATTGCAGAGGGAAAGAACAGGGTTACTGGGGGCCATCCAGAAAAGGATCCTACTAAGGTGCTCAGAACAATGGCCTCAGGGACATGGAGTCAATTGGCCTGGGAACTAAGGCTCCAGGCTTGGTTTCCAAAAGTAGAAGAACCACCTTATTCTGGCCTCAGGCTGCAGGCTCTGCACCCAAGAGCAGCTTCCAGGGTGGGGCATCATCTTCCAGGGATCCCACAGGAGGGCTTAGAGCCCAGGAACAAGCTTGTGATTGGCAAAGAAGGATAGCAATGGAGATGGAGTGAAGGGCTGAGGAGAGAAGGGGCTGTAGAAAGGAGAGGAACAGGGCTGTCTTTCCCCTTAGTGCCCACAATACAGCTGGATTTGAGAGCCATATGAGTCCAGGCCTTAGTTGAGGGAAAGAGATTTGGAAGAGGGGTGGAAAAGACAGGAAGAGAGCTGTGGAGCTGGCACTGCCCTTCTGCCGGCACAACAGGCAGCAAGAGAGCAGGAGTTGTTCCTTAGCTTGCAGGAGAGAGACACAAGGAGACCAAGGAGACAAAGGAGAGGAAGGAGGGCTGTGGGGAACCTGATGGGAGGCAATGACAAAAGCATGGGCTTTACACTTGGAACACATGGGTTGAGTCCTGGCACTCCTGCTTATTGGCTGACTGACCTTAGGGCAAATGGCTTGATCTTGCTACACCTCAGTTTCCTCATCTGTAAAATGGGGGTAGTGATATTACCAACCTCCCTGGGCAGCTCTGATCTCATAAAATATGTTAAAGAGGTTGAAAACCCTAAGTATTAAATCAATGCCAGATATTAGATTCTTATTAAAAAATACTATCAGCTACTTCTTCCCACTTAAATCTCACAAAATACCCAGAATGTGGGCAGGGCAAGGATTATTATTCCTATTTCACAAATGAGGAAATGAAAGCTTAGAGAAATGAAGTGACTTGCCCAAGGTCATACTGCTAACAAGTTGTACAGGTAATAAGACTTTCTGAATCAGAGATCAGTTGTCTTCTGTATTAAACTGCTTGATAGAAATAATCAATGCAGGGGATTATTATTTCATGCAGGATTAGATGGGGCTTGGAGCCAACTCTAAGATGGAGAAAACCTCATGGGAAAGTTGTGGCATGGTTCTCATTCATCCTGCTGATTGAGAGAAGAAAAAGAAAAGAAAACAGTGGGGCTATGGGATTGGAGGGAGGAACACAAAAGACGGACATCCTTTATTCCGTCTGCTAGTGAACCATGTTCCTCTGTTCCCACTGATTGTGTCTGTGGCAGACATTGAGGATATGTGTCTTTATCTCTATATGACAAAATGTGTCCTTCCTCATGTGACAGTACTTCCGCCTGCGTGTCTCTGACACCATGGGGAGATGCGCGTGTGTGTGACATGGTGTCTGCTTCCATGGCACTGCTCGTGGGTGTGACGACCTCTCCGTATCCCTGTGTGTCTTTGCCCAGGGTGGTGTTGGTGGTGGTATGTGGCCGTGTGTGTGTGTGTGTGTGTGTGTGTGTGTGTGTGTGTGTGTCTGTACACCTTTAAGAAGTGGAATATCTCATTTGGTAGTGTGAGTGAGGCAGTGAGTCAGCTGAGGCTGAGGGAGGCGGGAGGAGACTGCTAGGTTACGAGAACAGGAAAAGGGAGAAGGAGAAAGTGAAGTCAGGAACAAGGAGCTACCCCTTTCCTCTCCAACCCTCTTCCCCAAGTTCCTATGGAGCCCACCAAGAGCAAGGAAAACCTTGCAGAAGTCCACAGAAGCCAAGCTGGATGGAAAGGGGGGGCACTTTCTGCCTCTCCCCAATGCCTTGGAGGGAGATGAGCTAACCTAGGAGGCAACTGTCTGCTTCTCTCCAGCTCTCTGCCTCTACCTTCAGAATGTGTGAGGCCACCACCCCACCTAGTCTCCTTGTTGCTTGACCCTTTGACCTTGCTGTTCTCTTTCCTTCAAAAGACAAGCCACCTGGCCAGGTATGGAGAACTGGGCAGTAGCATCAGGTCTCAAATATCTATAGCCCCCACCCACCTACTCTCCAGAACTCCCCTAATGAGGGTCAAGAAGTTTCTCAACACTCAGCTCCTCTCTAGACAGGCCTGTGCTGCAGCTGTCGTACCTCTTGAGACTCTCCTCTCTGGATGCCTGTTCCTAGCAGCCAGAAAACCAGTGTTCCCTCCACTGCCACCCTGGGGCGCTGGGAAGGCACTGGGAGTTCTGTAATGCAGCAATCTTCAGTGGCCCTTTCCTCCACAAGCCAGTATCACCTGTTCCCTGCTCATTCCTTTGTCAGGGGAGAAGACCCTGCAGATTCCCTCCTTGGAAGAAGGCAGGCACCCCTGGGCTCCACCTGCCTAGGCTCTGGCCAGCCACCTCAGGTCACATAAGGTCAACAGGGTGGTGTGTCCTACCACCAGGAGTGCACCTCCTTTCACCCATTGGCAAGAGCCAAGGGTAAAGCATTAGGTTGACAAATATTCTCCTCCCTCTGTTGGCCTTCCCCCCTGCACCAGCCAGTCCCGGGACTTTCAATTCCAGCCCAGGCAAGGAGTGTGGCACAGCTGGCTGGGGATGAGGGCTGGGGGAACACAACCTCTCCTTCCACCCCTTTGCCAGCCCAGGACCCCAGGACCCCTCCCTCCTTGGGCCGGGGCGGGGCGCCAGAAAGCCCCTGCCCTAAGATATTGGAACCTGGAATTAATAGAAGTTGCCCAGGTGATTACCTTGCCTGAATCCCTGAGCCCCTTCTCTAGGGAGGGGCCCAGGGTGGCACTCGCAGTGCCGCACTGGGAAGGGTGGAAGTGGTGGGGTGGGTGGAGGGAGACCTTTCTTCTCCCCGTTCTAATGTCGCTGCTGCCGCCACCCAGGCAGCCGTTGTGGCCGCGGACGCCAATCCCTACCTTGCAGCCTTTCGTGCAGGACCGGATTGAGTACTCTTCTGCCTGTAAGTATTTATGCAGCACGAGGTCGAACTCGTCATATTTTTCCTGAGCATGTCGGTCCAGTCGCTGGTATGCCTCGATACAGTTGCTACATGCCTCCCAGGCCCCGGAGCCCGGGCTAGCCATCACAGCCAGCAGGTCCCCCAGCAGGGTGTCCAGACTGCAGTCCAGGCTGTCGGGGCGGTCCATGCCCAGCAGCAAGTCCCAGACCGTGTAGGTGTCGCAAAAGGAGAGAGTGAAGTTCCGAAAGTGGCCTTTGAGCAAGTTTTTTTTGGCGGAGGGGAACTCGGCCCGGGCACGGGAAGGGGAGTCAGGGGGCCGCAGAGGGGGGGCTGGGGTAGTCGGTTCGAAAAGTCTCTGCAAAGATTCCAATTTGGTGCAAGCTGCATCCAGCCCCGTGGGC